GTTAGGCCGTTATTACAATTCATCGGAGTTTGAATTTCGATACATTTCGGTTGCAAGCCACCTAATCTCATGTTGGGCACTCAGAATACATATGAAGCTGCTCTTCCCTTCGTGAAAGTCTTCTAGGATTTCTCCCCCGATTTTCTGTGCCCCAGATCTCGACTTGATATGTTTTTCACCCGTGGTCACATGACATGTTCAGTAATTTCCTCCCGCTCGTTTTAGAAACTCCATTGGGATTCTGAAGAGGCAAAAGAGCATACACTGGTACCAACTGTGGGAATCCACCAAAATCTCATGAAAAAACGCGTCTGCAATGGATCCAGCTTCGCGCCAGGAATTCAAACTCCGATGATTTATAATAACGGCCTAACCTGATCAGACCCCCGCGGTAACAACAGGACTAATATTTCGCGTTCCCGCGAACTGCGGTGAGCGTGAGCTTTCAACCGTATTTTGGTGTATCTGAAGGATGGATTTCCCCGAACATTAAGGCGCTGCCGGAGGCGCACCATCTTTGAACCTCGCGGTGATTCCGCTGCGAACCTCCAAAATTGACTTTTCGCCTCCCCGCGAGCTGTGCCGCAGGTCCAATTTCCAGCGCTTTCGACCCACGCCGCCAGTGTCCCCCCAAAATTTGTTACCTAGCTCAACTCATTGTACCTCGAATCATTCAGTTGGCTCATACTAGTCAATAAACTTCCTCTTGTCAATTCTAGACACGTAGCATTTTATAAACACCCGCATGTGGCGATCACGTGGTCCGTCGCGTCGCACTCTAATTGGTTGACGCCTGGGCACGCGAACGACAAGTGCTCTACAGCTGCAAAAGAGGCCGCCCTTTTCAACGTGTCCTCTGTCCTCTACCTCCAAGCTACTTCCCCTCACCGCGCACTCGCCCCCTCTTGCTTCGCTGCATTCTCGTCCTTCAAACTCTTTTGGCATCCACCTCGATACTGAGCAGTGGACGCCGAACGGCGGAGATGTCAAGCTGATCTATAATGATGACCCGAAGCGACTCGCGTACATCCAGGTCAGCGTCGAGGATCCTCTCGCGGCTGGCTAACCTTCCAGCTGGATAGGACACATTCAAACCTCTGGTACCTCCTAACTCCGGGCCCAACGCTAATATCACGTCGAAATTCGACGCGGTCACAGGGCACCTCGCTAAGGCCATGGATACTAGCAACGCCGGAGCAGGGGAGGAGGAAGCTCTCTATATAGAACATATCTTAGATTTATCTGAGACAATCTGCATGCAGATTATCGCTTTAGGCGCGCGTCGACGAAAGGCATGAACGAACGTCTGCTTCCGTGGTTCAAGGAACATAAAGGGCGTTGTTTGTAAGTCCGCTGTAGAACCAATCTGCAACAATGTGGCGAGGTACAACTCGGGATTTATAATTCAGGCGCTCGAGGAATTTGAAATTTTTTGGGGGGGGCCGATCGCGGCCATCAATTTAATATTCAATTGGCTACGTCATCAAGTCATTCCGGTCCTTGCAATTCCTACGGTTTGGGGAGTCTCAAGGGAGATTCTGAACAGAAAGATGTTCCCAGATTAGAGTTTCATCCATCCTCCATTTTTCGCCACTCGTAGGCAGGCTGGTAACGAGCTACAATGATATCTGCATTCCTGTCATACTGATGGGGATACAGTCCTCGATTTCTACCATTCGCAGCCTGGGCTAGTTGAAGCTATTATTGAATTGTGATTGCGGGTTCACTGGCACACTCCGCACAAGAGCGCACTTCGGTCATTCAGTTCGTGTAATCCTTCGTACTCTGAATAAATATATACTGGTTTCGTGGCCCGATGGTGTCGGAAACTCTGTCCGGTGCGCCAAAAGGGTGGGCAATTTCCCAATAACTCGTCACCCGATCCTAGTCAGCACTGTCTCGGACGCCACGCGGTCTCTTTGATTGTTCTCACAAGCTGTAGGTGGAGGTATAAATACAGTGGATGTTGCACGCTTTCTGCATTACTCCCCAAACTAGATGTGTGGTCTTACAGCTATCTTTCATCCAGATGCGGTGGCTAGGCCGTCAGTTGACGACCTCAAGACCTCGCTCGAGGCCTCGCTCGAGATCATCAAGCACCGCGGTCCGGATTCATGGGGAACCTATATATCACCAGATGCGCGCATCGGTCAGTAACTCCATGGCACGGATAGTTCTGGATAATTTATGCTTCTCATTGTAGGTCTAGGACATGTGAGGCTGTCGATAATTGATCTCGCAACTGGCCAGCAACCCATGTCCGATGAAAATGGACTGATCCATTGCGTCGTAACTGGGGAGATCTATGACCACGAACGCATTCGTGCCGACATGGAAAAGGAAGGATTTTCATTCAAGTCCAAATCAGACTCTGAGCTGGTTGTACAACTGTATGTGGTTGACGCGCAACTTATGTCGAGTCGCTCACCAGGATGTCAAGGTACAAACGCGACGGAATTAACCTCCTTTTCAGCTTGCGCGGCGAGTTCGCGTTCGTCCTGTACGACGTCAAACGACGTCTGCTGTTCGCGGCGCGAGATCGGTTTGGGATCAAGCCGCTGCACTATACCATCTCAAATGGCCGCATCCTGTTCGCCAGCGAGATGAAGGCGTTGATGGGGCTAGGATGGAATGCCGAATGGGATATCGATAGCATTGTTCACAGCGGGGATCTCGGGGACGAACGCACCGTGTTCAAGGGCGTTTTTAAGGTATGACTTCGGTTCGACAGCTCGTTACGGTTCACTTGGCTCACTAAATACAGCTGGCGGCGGGCCACCTTGCGCTCTGCGGTCCCTCTGGGGACATCAGAACCGAGAGGTACTGGGACCTCTCGTATCCACTGGCGACTGCCCCTCCCACGGAGACAATTGATTCGATGGTGTCCAATGTCCGAAGGCTTCTGATCGAGTCGGTCCGACTGCGGCTTCGTTCAGATGTCCCACTGGCAGTCTACCTCAGCGGAGGAATTGACAGCTCCTGTGTGGCTGGGATCGCCACTCACATCCTGCGCGAACAAGACCCAAACGCGAAAGTGACCGCATTCACGTTGGCTTATACCGGTGAGGCTGAAATCTACTTTGATTTAATCTCCTTGTCTTTATGTAACATTCGCAGAGGACGAAACAACGGATGAGTCTCCAATTGCAGGGCGGACTGCCGCTCATATTGGGGCTGAAATACATAAGGTCAAAGCAACTGAAGCCGCATTGGTTGATGTCCTCGAGGAGGCTATCTGGCATTCTGAACAGCCGAACACCACCTTCCATGGCGCAGGTAAGATACTCTTGTCCGACGCCGTTCGCCACCATGGCTACAAGGTTCGTATTTTCATCCCTGCTATCCTTGACATTGATCCCCGACCTCAGGTTGCGCTATCCGGCGAGGGCTCCGACGAAATGTTCGCCGGATATGGGTGGTTCCGCCTCGATTATCTTCGGAACCCAGATATTGCAGCTGCCAGCCTCGGAATAAATGTGCCCTCGGACGCCGAGCGCCGCGATATGGTCACTGCACTCGAGGCATCGGCGGGTGTCCCGGAAATGTCGAGCATGGTGATGGATGTTAAAGACTCCAGCCTGGTTAAAGTCAGCGCCCACCACGTCGTCGCCACACCCACTCCGTTCTACCGCCCGATGTTCCACCCCTCTGTCCTCACCGCTGCAGGCGCTCCCGAGATTGCACGGTGCGTTGCTGAGGGGATCGATCCTCGTGTCCGGCAGCACTCCCTCTGCGGCACCTGGCATAGTTTGAATGTGTCTCTGGTATGTCTTGTGTCTTTCTTTCCCGAATGAGTTGTTGAAGCTCGTTCGTACCGCAGTACATCACCGCCAAATCCTTGCTCGGAAAAATCATTTTGAACCAAGCCGGCGATCGCAATGACATGACAAACTCTGTTGAAAGCCGAGTTGCGTTCCTAGATCACCACCTGGTCGAATACGTGAACACCTTGCCACCGTGCGCATCTCGGCATTCGTTGGCGGCTCAACCTACATACTGACAATTTCTCAGGTCCGTGAAAATGATGCCAACCGCGGGAGATGGGCCCAACAAGTGGACTTTAACCGAAAAATGGATCCTCCGCGAGGCGGTCAGGCCGTTCGTGACGGAGGAAATCTACACGCGGCGAAAAATCCCGTTCAACCCGCCGCCGAGTCCCCACCGCGCGGCGTCCGGCCTCGTGCCGCTTCAGATCCATCTCAGAAAGCGCATCACCCAGGCGAACGTCGAGCACCTCGGGCTGTTCGACTGGCCGTATATCAACGACCTCCTCGCGGGATATCTGGATTCGCCCGAGTTCCCGGCGCAGGGGGCTATAGACCAGAGGGCGCGGATGCTTATGGCGGTTCTCAGCTTTATTGTGTTGCAGGAGCGCTTTCGTGTGCCTCCTGCGACGGTTGAGAGATAATATAGCATCCAGTTCAACCAAAGTTCAACATAAATAATGTAAAATAAACCTCTCCCATTCACGTTTTCAACTCGCGGGTCCTCCATGTCTCACACCAAATGATTTCCCCTCGCCGAATGCTGGCGAAATCTCGCGGGTATTACATTCGGAAGTGAAGAATAGGCACGTCATTGCGAAACAGCGTGCAACCTGTGCTAATTTCTCAGAACCAAGTGGCAAGCTGGAACCGCACATCTAAATCGCTCTGTTCCGTGTCTCCATCTATCCTTGTACTCCGTAGTCCAGCCCAGCCCAGCCCAATCCTGCTCGTTCCCAGCCTCCCTCGATTAAACATTTGTGTGTTAGCTTTGGGTGATGGGTGGACCTGCATATGTACAATGAAATTACAACATGTACTAATTTCATTTCTACACTTAGGAATGGCCTGAGGGGAACATGCCCTTGTTCCCAGTAAACGAATCGGGAAACAAAAATTTCATCGGGAGTGCCTTGTTCAACTCAGGGCCAGGCCTTTACTTTTATGTTCGCTGTTGTACTTCTCGCGCCATGATCAACCTCTACATGTATCCAGTTCCTGGAAGATTTTCACTGCGGTCTGCTGGTGTAGGGGTAACACATCTGTCTTGTAGTTAAAGAATGCTTGAGCAGGAGTCCCGTGTTCGACTCAAGGCTAGGCCATACGTCATTGAGTTCCTTTTTCTTAGCCTTTCTTTTCTCCTTACAAATGATTCTCCATCTATTCAATTCATGGAGAAGTCTAGGGATGGTCTGGTGGTGTAGCGGTAACACGCCTGTTAGAGATTGCGTTCAGATTTGTGCAGTTTTCAGCGGAGTTCCTTGTTTGATTCAAAGCCAGGCCATAATTTTCATCTTTTTGATTTTTTTTATCCGGTAGAGTTACATATGAACTCTGTATCTATTTAGTCCCAGGGAGGATTTAAGAGCAGCCTGGTGGTGTAATGGCTACACGCCCATCAATAATTAAATGAACAGAAACTGGTTTTTGTGGGAATTCCTTGTTCGAATCGAGGCCAGGCGTTACCTACTCGAGTGTCTCTCTTTCTCCCATAATTGAACTCTCCATGTATCCAAACCATGGGAGCATATAAGAATGGCCTGGTGGTGTAATGGTAGCACATCTGCTAGAGATTCGAGGTTTGTTATATTTTCAGTGCGAGTTCCTTGTTCGATTCGAAGCCAGGCCATGTGCTACGGTTGATGTATTTTTATTTATTTATCTAGTGGACCCGCATGACCACCACCAACGCCATTTGTTCATTTGTTGCGGTTGGATAAGAATGACCTGGTGGTGCAATGGTTACATGCTCATCAACAGAGTTGTGGAACAGCATTATATTTGTGGGAATCCCTTGTAGGCACGTTATTATGAGTCAGCGCTACTTTCTCAGAACCAAGTGGCAAGCTGGGACCGCACATCAAATCGTTCTCTATCCCTGTATTCCGTCATCCAGCCCTGTCCTGCTCGTGCCCATCCTCCCTCGATTAAATAGTTGTGTGTTCGCTTTGGGTGATGGATGGAGCCGCATACAATGAAATTACAACATGTGTTAATTTCATTTGCACACCTAGGAATGGCCTGGTGGTGTAGGGGGAACATGCCCTTGTTCCCAGTAAACGAATCGGGAAACAAAAATTTCATCGGGAGTGCCTTGTTCAACTCAAGGCCGGGCTATTACTTTTATGTTGATGGTTTTACTTCTCGCGCCATGATCAACCCCTAGATGTATTCAACTCCTAAGAACTCATAAGCATGGCCTGGTGTAGGGGTAACACATCTATTCTGTATTCAAGGGATGTTTGATATCTGAGCAGGAGCCCCTTGTTCGATTCAAGGCAAGGCCATACCTCCTTGAATTTCTTTTCCCTGAGCATCTTTCTCCCATAACTGAACTTCCCATCTATTTAACCCATGGGAATGTGTAGCAACGGCCCGGTAGTGTAGTGGTAACACGCCTGCTAGAGAGTGAGGCGAGACTTGTGGTTTGATTTCAGCGGAGTTCCTTGTTCGATTCAAGGCCAGGCCATTATTTATAATCCCCATCTTTTATATTTATTTATCCGGTAGACACATGAACTCTGCATGTATTCAACCCCAGACAGTGCTTGACGATGGCCTGGTGGTGTAGTGGTTACACGCCCATCCACAACGTCGCGAAGAATTGGTATTTGCAGGAATTCCTTTTTAGACTCCATAGCATCTTTCGAATTTCCTTTTTGTGGTGAGGTACTTAGAATCTCATACTTATTCATTTTGTGGGAGAATGAACGAATGGCCTAGTAGTGTAGTGGTAACACGCCCATTTTCTTTAAATGCCTGCAACATAGCTTTATAAATGGGTGTCCCTTGTTCGACTCAAGGCTAGGCCATAACAAGTCTTGGATTTTTTGTGACGAGTGTCGCAAAAAATCTGGCATCCATTCACCTTGTGGGAAGGTGAATGAGTGGTTTGGTGGTGTAGTAACACGCCTGCTAGAAAGAAGTCTAAGGTAAATGCATTCAGCAGGAGTTCCTTGATTGATTCAAGGCTAGGCCATTTCACGACGGCAAGTCCTGTTTATCTGGCAGAGTCATACATGCATGAACTCCCAATTTATATAACTCCTGAGACAGTGTAGGAAGGGTCTAGTGGTGTAGTGGTAACACACTTTGCTAAATGTTCTACTTGACAAACGAGTTTCAGCAGGAGATCTTTGTTCGAATCAAGGCTAGGCCATATCCCTTTTTGTAATATTTTTATTATGTTTACACCACTTTTATATTTTAACAGTATACTTCAACCTTGGCGCGTCTGATTATTGAGTTCCCATTCAGTCGAGTCAATTTATGGAAGAGCGTCGGGGTGATTGATATAGGCCCCTCCGAATCCAACGCAAGCAGACAATTCCGAGCCGATAGCTGTCCAGTGTCTGCCAGCGAGAGATGCAGATGCTGTCCCGGATATTTCGCGTCGGATCGGACCTACGAAGAACGACTCATAACTGGGTACTGCCTGCCCGCAGGGTGAAATCATATATGTACAGCCCCAACGTCAAGTTGACTTGAATCCGAGGATGAAAATTTGAGATTTCTTCTTTGTAGCCCTTGCGAGGAGTTAGTGGCCTGCAGCGAAGACTGAAATGCAGACCGGAATGCGTCGAATTTGAACCTCCGTGAAGGGACTGACAACGGCGATCTGACACGTCACGTGATGCATCCGTGTCAGCGGCGGGCTCCGCAGCGCAGCCTCATTATTCCTCATTGATCTTAACCACCACCTTTGTGCGTCGTCCTCCCCTCCTCCTCCCCGTCCCTCACTAACCCATCCCCAGCCCATCGCATGAAATTCTGTACCATCCCCATCGTAGCGGCCAGCGCGGGTCTCCGTGCGTCCCTCCCTCCCTTTGTCGACGAGGATACTTACTAATCATTGTGCAGTGGCGAGCGCGAGCCCGATGCGCGTCGTCATGGTCTCGAGCAACTTGCAGCCCATGCGCCCCCCGGCCATCCCCTCGCAGTTTCAGAACGGCGCCCCGGGCCACGTCATGCCCGCCAAAGCGGTTGCCGCCCCGTGCGGCAGCCGCTTGCGCCAGAAGGCGAGCAGCTTCTCCGCCGCCTTCCGCCTCGCCCTCGGCTTTGGCTCCAGCAAGAACCCCACCGACGCCCCGCCCATCTACGTGCACGTGACCCCGGCCCCGCCCCGCATCCCCAGCGCCTGGGTCGAGGTGGGAAAGACATCCGGCGGCGACCCCATCCTGCGCCTCGCGTCGGAGAACGGCCGCCTGTCCCCGACTCCGTCTTCCTCCACCGGCGCCTGGGTCGAGGAGGGAAGGACAGCCGGCGGCGACCCCATCGTGCGCCTCCAGAACGGCCGCCTGCGCCACAACCACCACCTCCGCCCCCACGCCCACCATGGCGAGCGCTCGTTCCTCATGCGCGTGCACATGGCGCTGATGGCACTCGGACCCTGGGAGGGCCGCGCGGTCGCGTTCGTGCTCGGGTGCGGCATCGGCGTCCTGCTGCGCATGCTCTTTGTCGTCGCCGTCGTCACCGTGCGCGCCATCCGCGGTCCCCGCCCCGCCTTGAACGAGTACGAGCCCGTGGACAGTGACGCGGAGGAGATCTTCGTGGCGCCGCCGCAGTACACGTACCCCGTCGAGAAGGTGGCGCTTGTGGAGGCGGAGGTACAGGCGGAGGAGGCGAAGTAGAGCCTCCCCCTTATCGCTGTTCGTCCCACTGGCTGTCTCTATAGCGCAAGGTGGACTCGTCTCCATCTAATCCAATCCAATCCCATCCCATCCATCCCTACTTCGTACTCACCCCACCTACATCCCCATCCACCCCCAGTTACCTACCTACGAGTCCTGATAACCCGATCTCCGTACCATCTCCGTATCCGTATTCGTCTCCGTCGTACCCGTATCCGTGTTAAATATAGTCGCTCACACAGCATGCGTCTCGACGCTCCGCCAGGCGCCCAAGGTAGCACAGTCCCGCATTTCCACGGGCCTGCCATCTCGACAGTTCCGACATGGGGTTGACATCCCGCGATATACGGAGCAGACAGAATCCTTCGGTCAGATCCTCTTTTCCGCACCCTCCGCGTTATGGAAGCGCTGTATAGTATAGAAAGACGTTCATCTTATCAGGCGCTCATCATGATAAGTTAGCATCAAGGCGCTCGCACAGCTAAGTGGCCGGGATTGAGACAGTCACCAACTTACAGTATCGCGGCCGCGCAAACATGCTCTCGTTTCATCGGGTTCTTCGGAATCGTACCCGTGCAGAAATCTGGAATAAATATATTGTGGCTGGAGGCGCCTAAGTGATACATAGGTGGAGACGCTGCGGCCGGGTCGCACGCAGTCAAAGCGAAAGCGATTGAATGGCAGTGGTAGCGAGCCAAAAAGCAAAGAGCGGGGGCCGGAAGTTGCCGGTCCTCCAAGCTCTCGCGTGAAGTCATGCGAAATCCAACGCCTTGGGCTCTCGAGGAAAGAAAAGAAAAGAAAAGGAGTAATTTGGGCGGAGGGAGAGAGAACTCTAGCACTCATGGCTGTCCGATATAAACAAAAAATGATTTATATAGCCTGGCCTTGAGTCGAACAAGGGACTTCTGTAGCAAATTTCTAGTAGCCCTACGAAGGTAAAGCAGATGTGTAACCACTACACCACCAGGCCGTTCCTATGCTTTCCCGGAGTTGTATAGATGCAAAATAGTTTGGAAGACACGAGAAAGAGAAAATTAGATTTCAGCCATCCAACGTGTCCTCGGGCGCTCTCTCGAAATTCGAACGAATGAAAGGAAATTAAAAGAAAAATTTGGGCGGAGGGAGAATTCTATGTATCACTCGAGGCAGAATTAACCAAAAAAGCAGTCACGGATTGCTCATGGCCTGGCCTTGAGTCGAACAAGGCACTCCCCCTAAGATTACCTAACATTCACATAATCTAAGCGGGCGTATTACCACTACACCACCAGGCCATTCTTACACCATCCCTGGAGTTGTCTACAGCTGTAGTTTACGATGTTTACGATTCAGTACCTCGCCTCTGTCTAATACAAGACTGGGGTACGGCCGAAGCCGACCACGGCGGGACGTGTGGAGTAATTAAAGTGTTTGGAAGGCACGAGAACGAGAAGAGGCTGAGAGAAAAAGGATCCTCAAGGAAGTATGGCCTGGCCTTGAATCGAACAAGGCACTCCTACAATAATTAGCTTTCGTATCAGACATTGAGAGCAGGCATGTAACCACTACACCACCAAGCCATGGCTATATCTTTCCAAGAGTTGAATATATGGGGAGGTTTCGTTGCGGCACGAAAAGCAAGAAAAATAAATTTCAAAAGAAATGGCATGGCCTTGAGTCGAACAAGGCACTCCTGCTGAAGATGGGATGCAAGATCTAATTTAAGCGAGCGGACCCTCGAAAGTTCAAGGCTCATAAATCGCAGTTCATCCGTTATCCAAACTCCGCCCCCGCCGCATCACGCCGTCGCCCGGCCCGTGCTACGTGCAACCTTGATTCGATCTCCGCCAGCAACGGCCGCCGCGCCTGCTTCCAACCGTCATGTCGCTTTTTTCGCATCTGTACTTTCACCCGTTCGCGAGCTCATTCACTCAATGGCTACGCCTACAACCGGTGATATCGAGAAAACGCCACCCGCTGAGGTCGACGCAGGTCGAATGTCGTCTGTATTCGGCATAGAGTCTCTTCTCTTTGGATTCAAGGCCGCTGTCTCCAGTTTCTGGCTGATGCCTTTGATTCACTGCAACTCTCCCGACTCGAGGACTCTTGTGCGGCTTGCTTCAATGACTGCACGCCCGGCTCGGGATAACAATCAGATTCATCGCAAGCAAAGACCGTTCTACTGCTCGGCCTCGTGCCCATTCTCCCGCTTTCGCCCATTTTTCATTTCGGACAATCCGAGTGCGCATTGCGATTTTTGCGCTTCTCTTCTCCTTTGCTTACCTGATCCATCTCCCGGCATGCCTCCACACCGTCCCAGTGAACTCAAACCCAAACTCACACCCAAATCCGCCTGTCGTTCCTCGGTGCCGGTAACGTCCACCGACCTTCCGTCTTCCATCGACTCGCAGCTCATGCTTACGAACCGCCGAGTTTTGGATGCAGCAACCGAACCCAACCAATTTGGGGATTCTCCTACCCTTACAAGCTCGCTCAAAATCCCTCTCTGAGGGTTCCGATTCGATGTTATGGCATTCAAAAACGCAGTGGGCTGGCTAATCAAGTCGAACATCCTCGGAAGAGCCTTGGATTTCAACTCACAAACCAACACGTGGTTTGCGGCACCACTGGCCCATGCATGCAACTCACACGCCCAGCGCTATTGGGTCGATCTCATTACATATGCTGGTCCTAGAACCACTCCATCCCACAGCGTTAAAATCCCCGGCACTCGCCTCGAGTACTGGCGCGCCTTCCTGTCCCGCTGCCCACTGGAAGCACCGAACGAGCGAGGGAACGATACCACAGTGAATGCGACTCCGACGTCCTCGGAAGCCTTGTATACTTACAAGCCTACCTCCCGCCCCGGAAAATCAGGTCGATCATCGTGAATCCTGGCCGCGCCTAGTATTAATCGAAACGGACTCCGGGTCCGAACATGAAGAGCTGGTTCGTCAAATCCGACTCGAAATCACACCGCATTCGCTAATGTACCTTTCCCATCGTTCCTTTATTTCCTGTCTTGCTTGCTTGCATTACCTTGTCGTTCCGTTCTGTTCATTTATTTCCCGCCTGTCTTCACCCGTCCAGAAGTACCCTATCACTTTCAACTTCCAGCATGACGCAGGTTGCGCCCTGAAGCGGCTTCACTCTCTTTGAACGAGAACACTGGACGATCATGAGCATTAGAACAAGGCGCCCCGCGTCCAACAGCCCATGCTGATGCTCACTCGTCCGATTTGCTACGAAGGTACCTTCCAATCAATCTCTTGTCTCGTGTAACTTATGTTGAAATGCCCCTAAACATCCACGTTCAATTGTCATTCGTTAATTAACCCCAAACGAATCCCGACGGTCGGTTACTGTTCCTTGTTGAACTTGGCGGCACAAGACATGCTCGTGGGACCAAGCCGGGATGAACAGTTCACAGCGATGCGGCATCTTCAAGTTCTGCGCCGCGCGAGCTCACTTCGCTCTGGGTTTCTCGAGCGCGCACTGTATGTTTATTTACTTCACATCCCCATAGCCCTAGAAACTCCCACAGCCGCATGACGGTACCATTTTTTCACTAGGGTTAGGACCGATTTTCCCTTGATATTTAGACATGCGAACATTGGATACACGCTCAAACAACAGGCACAACACAGATTACTCATGCCTCAAACGCCATTCGAACACCATTCTGCCATTCGGCCATTCAATCTTTGCGTGCCGCCTGTTACTTCGCGGTGATTCCGTGCACCAGGAGTATTGGCCCAAAGGGTCAGTACGAGTCGCTCGGCTTCCGATTGGCGGCGTTCATCGGTGTCCTCTGCCTTTCTGCTGCCGCCTGAACTACCTTCGACCCCCGCAACTTTCATGCACGCATTTTCGAACTTCTCGGTCGTAACCGAGCGATCGTGCTTGCTCCTGGACGGTCCGAGCGGGGCAGGGATCGGAGGAGCAGGGCGCTTCCGAGCTGCGAGTAGATACTCTGGGCCTTCACCCCACCACTTGAGAGCAGCAACACCATAATTGCAGTTGAGGAGGATGGGCGAGGGCTCCGCCTTTCTCGAGCGCTTCTTGAAGGAGGCGTCCTTATCGTTTGGGATGTTCCGTTGCTGCTGCTCGTCACTTTTATTGAATGTCCCTCGGCCAACCCTTGTGCAAGCCTCCTAGGTGTTAAAATGTCACGAGATCCATCTAAAACCCATTGAATACCTACCAAAGAGACTGTGGAATATTCCTGGGCATTATAAGGCTATTTCCACCTCATTTGAGAAAGAGACGGACCTTCATACACAGATTCGGCAACCCACTCTATGTAGAAATTCCATCAAATATCGCGTCCCACACAAAGCGCGCTTCGCGACGTGAATTCAAACTCCGCGATTACATAATAACGGAGCACTGTGATCCAACCCCCGCCGTAAAAACTAGACTAGCTGAGCGGTTGATGCGAGGATGTGGGGATGTGGGGTAGGTGCTATGACGGTATCGTGTATAATTGTGGGCCAAAACCTCGTCTGGGGCTAGCAGACGGTACTGGACGGTGAACTGTCAACGACGCCAAGTTCCTGAAGCTCGACGCGGCCGGAACTTTCCACCGGAGATGGTGGTGGTAGTGTACAATGTTTACAAATTTGGACACCGCCTCCGCATCAGGTATACTAGGATGTGCAAAGCCACTCGACGGACCGTCTGATAAGGAAGACACGAACATGGTTGCATTCAACTTGCATATGAGCCGACCTGATGGCCGACACGGCCATCACAGAAATCAATATTTGACGGCATTGAGATCCTTGTCACGAGGCTCGAGTCATCCTTCGCCTTTGCCTTCACTGCCAGTCTCCCAGAATGTCCCACTCTGTCCTTCTTGGTGCTGGAGATGCCCTAGGGACAGGAGACTCACACCTCTCCCTCAATGTTGTTCCTCTCGAGCTCGCCGACGTTGCTTTTGAGCGAATGAGAGAAGAGGTTAAGTGGGACGTTATGCATCACCGAGGTGGGTATTGTAAGCTCCCCACATTCCCGTGATTCTGATTGAATGGAAAGGTGGGGAAGTCCCCCGACTCGTTGCTGTAGAAGGGGAGGTCCAGCCCGACGGCAGGTTCGTTCCACGGCTCCAGGTCGATCCTTGGCTCAACGATTTAGCTTTCCCATCTACCGGCATCCGTCAGACGAGTCTCCTCCCTTGCATCAATTTTCACCCACTGTCGATTCGATCCGGGAACATGTCCAGAAGATCCTCAAGCACCCAGTAAATCACGTTTTGATTCAATTTTATCGCACCGGGACGGACTACATCTCCGAGCACTCCGACAAAACCATCGACGTGGTCCGTGGGTCTAACATCGTCAACGTCAGCCTCGGTGCCCAGCGCACAATGACCCTTCGCATGAAGAAAGACCGCGCTCATGCTCTCCACAACGAATCGTTTCCTGCAGCCGACGCAAAGCCCCCGCCGCGCCCCACGCAGCGCATACCCCTGCCACACAACTCCATGTTCGTCATGGGTCCTGAGACCAACGCAAAATGGCTGCACGGGATCAACCAGGACAAGCGACTCATCACAATGAAATCCGCAGCGGAGACGGTCCAGGAAGGGGAGCGTATCAGCCTCACCTTCAGACACATCGGCACGTTTCTGAGCGCGGATCAGAAACATATCTGGGGCCAAGGGGCGACAAGCAAGACGAGGGATACTGCGGCGCCGGTAGTTCATGGTGAGAAGGAGAGTCAGGACCTGATCTATGCGTTCGGTGCGGAGAACCATACGAGCGATTTTGATTGGGACAAACACTACGGTATGGGATTTGACGTCGTGAATTCAAGACCGGAGAGGCCGAGTGAAGGTGGGGGATTCAATAGTCCGTTTACGTTTTTAAATCTGAAAATATTGATCGTTTGTGCCATAAGGGAAAAGTGAAGTGCGGATCGAGAAGTACATTAATAAACCATCTTAAGGCGCTGATTGTAGACCAGAACGCCGCCGACGTTGCTTAATACATTGGGATTTGGTGATGAGGTCATTCTCTACCCTCCATCTCAATTTCCGTCATTACACTTCCTGGTTTCTCAAGACATGAGGCACACAAATACCCAAGCCGGCCAGTTTTCTCTTGCAGTTTCTTCTTGAACCACGTTTTCAGCTCTAATCAAACATCAAAGACCTACTGCCGTGTATTGACCGGGGCGTGATACCCGAACATGTAGCAGCAACGGTCGCTCCGTCAAAGATCGCCGCGCTATATAGCCCCGATCCCTCCGAGACCGCGCCTCCAACCAACGCTACACCACGACTCACCCACGACTCTTGACTTACATGTTTTCCCTCGGAGTCTTCCTCCTTTGCTTACAACGTGCAACGCGGCCGGAACCCAAACACCTCCGCAATACGACCCGGATAGTACAGTCTGCCCCGAGAGCTGCATCGGCACATACGCCAACGCGCAATTCGCCAGCGTTTCTTTAGTTGACCCTTAATAGCACTCGACGTCCGTTTCCCCTTTTTTGTTTTTGAGAACCGAACATCAAGGAGGATGAACTGGGTGCGAAAGGAACATCCGAATCCAACGGTGTACAATGTGCTGCCCTC